AGCAGAAAATGTGTTTACAACACTTTCACACGAAATGGAGGATGGTGTAAAAAAAGTTGTAAAATCAATGATCTACGGGAACTGAAACAACAACATGATGTATTGACTTGTGAACTATTTATGTCAGACAAAATCTATATAATGTTTGTCAGGGAATATAAGGACATGGTCCTATCTCTTATATCTGTATCAAACTTATAACTGTTCTTTGCAGACATTTTGCGCTGACTTTGAATTTTTGGTTTGGGTAATACACAGTTTATTATACTTTTTCTTTATATTGCACCTTCAAAATGAAAGTAATAAATAAAATTGCTATTACCAAATACTTTATAGAAACAGCGTTTAAGTATTCTAGAAGCCTCAAACTAACAATAAGACTATTGATCAGTTTAATTTAATCCTAACGTATTTCACACTTTATTAGACCATAGATCTTTAAGAATATTTCAAAAAGGTGCCAGAGCAAACTAAGATAAGGTTTGTTCAAATTGAGTGTATGCTACGAGGTGTATATGTCAAATGTAATCGCACGAAAAGTGGAGGCAGCATCTAAAAGACGGCGTATTTGAGAGAAAAATTGTCTTCAATTAAAAAAAAAAAATGATAATGAAGATTTCGACATGTAAAAAATATATGATATTCATTAAACTTGTGTTTGAAGCTTTAAAAATGCATCTTGGCAAAAGGAACACTGACAATATTGTCTTTTTATCATGATCTTTTCCTCTTGTTGCAGTTTGAAACATGAAGAATATTGGATTTTAAACAAAACAGCTGTACGCCCAATGTTTTGATAAATTTAAATGTATACAGTATTTTAAGCATGCAACGCGGTGAATTGTTTGTGCGTGTGCAGGTATGGTAAGTTTGTGCATGCATGTGTCCGTTTTATAGATTATACATAAACATGTGTAGTGAACTTTAAAAATGTTCAGTCCAATTACCTCCAAACTTGGCAGTTCTGAATATATTTATATAAAATAATATTAACTTCAAAACTAATACATGAATGGTTCCAAATATTCGTAGATTCGTAGTTGAAATTTACAACTTGTCTACAATCTTCCATTAAAAAACAACAGGAGAAGATAACTAAAATTTAGCCCTTAATTTGTTTTAATCATGTTTTACCTAATCATGTAAAGTTAAAGGAAATTATTGTTTAAATTTCTCTTTTTGCCCTAGACAATTGGCTTCTTTAAAAAGGATTACAATTTTCCAAAATATCCATCGACTTCTTTTAACTAGATATTTGCATTTGAGATGTTTGCAAGAAAGCTAATATATAAAATGCTATTATATCATAATATGACAAACGAAATATTATTATGTCATCAATGAAGAAATATTAAGAGAAAGGAAAGTGTAGTTAGTCTCAAACGCACTATCAAATCAACTCATAGAACAAAAAAGCAAACAAACAAAAAAAAGCACATCAATCAAACAAAAATAAAATAAAAACCTTAGAAAAAAAATGGACAGTTATTACACTAAAGTTTAGAAAACATTAATTAATTAGGCTATCTCTTGAAAAATCAATTCTACGAAAAATGCAATTTTCTCCGAGCCTTGTGTCATTATTGTGAAATGCAGTCTTATATATGCATAATGTAATACCTAACACAAGACGTAAATCATTAATGAATTGTATGATAATGTTGTTCATCCAAACAATCTGGCATGGTTGTTAAAGAAACGTTCAAGGTCGTTCGTTTCCAAAATAAAGGATTTCATTGGAGGAGATGCTAGATTTGAAGTTCGTGATATTGCACGAAAAGTAGGCATATCACTATCTACGGTTCACTTTATTTTGAAGAAGCATTTGAAAGTCAGAAAGATTTTTGTTAGATGGGTGCCACATCTGTTGACCGATGAGCAAAAGAAGCAACGGGTTAAGGTGGCCAAAAAGCTGCTTCAAATTTTTCCAAAATATGACAAAAAACAGTTTGCCAATGTCGTCACAGGTGATGAAACTTAAGTCCATTATTTTGAGCCCGTCAGAAAAGTTAGCAACAAAATCTGGGCCACTAAACACAACAAACGCCCAGTAATTGCCAAACAGTCTTTGAGTGCAAAGTAGGTTTTGTATGCAATTTACTTCTCTGGTGAAGGAGTCGCAATAAAAGTGCCGGTGAAAAGAGGCAACAGTATCACTGGGAAGTATTTCAAAGACATGGTACTTAAGAAATTGAAAGAATATTATAAGAAAACGACGCCCCTTCACTGGTTTTAATCATATACGTCATATACGTCTTCTACATGACAATGCCCCCGCTCATACCTCCGCAATAGTTTCGGCGTTTTTGATAAACGAAAAAGTTACTGTTTTGCCTCAACCCCTGTATTCTCCAGACCTTGCCCAATGTGATTTCTTTTTGTTTCCGAAATTGAAAACTTTCCTTGCTGGGCGGAAATACAAGTCCCGAAAGGCACTTGGATCTGCCATTGATCAGTAACTTATTACTGTGCCCAAATAAGCTTACCGTGACGCCTTCAAGAAGAAGAGATATATCGGCTGAAATATTGCATTTCTAGCCACGGGGAGTATTTCGAGGGCATGAAATGAACACTTTTAAGCTAAATTTGAAGTCTCCAGATAAAAAAAGCAATACATTTCGAACATCCCTCGTAATACTGCATGTCCTGGCAAAAAGATTTACATAATTGGGGAAAACAATTCAGATATCATTTTCATTTGAACTTGCACTGCTACATTTGGGACAAAGAATTTTAGGTGCGCATGATGTTCCGTTAATAATCATGTTACTCATACGTTAAGTATTTAAGGACTGATCGTTATGTGAACTTTTACAAAAATGAATAAAATTGTTTAGAAGTACATAAAAATGCTTTAATCAGCATCTTTTTAACCTTGCTCGGAGGTTGATGAAGGTTTTTGTAGAATAGTTGTTTAGTGGTCTTTTACATACAATTCTAAACTCAGGTTTGCTGACAAGATGTCTGCAACAATCTAAAAACAAAAATTGGTTTTTAGCAACATTACCTGCTCAACTAGTTGGCAAATTTTGATTGAATTCAAAAAGCAGTTGCATTAGTGAAGTAGTATGATTTCTTTTAGGAGAGATTAAAGTGTAACATATTTATTCAAATTTTAAAACATTCTACTCAATCATTGATAATTATAGATGTGACACTTTTACATATATCAGTGAGACATTTTGTAAAATGATAAAAATGCTCATTTGTTTCAAGTGCATGATACATTTAAAGGGTTCTGTCATTATACTTGATATCAAAGTAAACTTGTTTAATTCTTCCATAAAATATCTAAAGATTGAATGAGATCGAGTCAGTTACTAAACATTGCCGTAAATTAAGTTAAATTGTCAAGTCATAAGTCAAATTGTGAATCACTAAAATGTCTAACGCATTTAAGATATTTTTTCAAGGTTTTCATGAAAAAGACAAATTTGAAATTTCACTCTTAACTTTATGCAGATAATTATATATGTCATAGACTTTTCTTAATATTACCTCATATATATTCATAGATTTCTCAGAACGAGGCTAACAGGGCAAGCTTAAATATCTGCTCTATGTAAACATATGATGAATATATGGCCGAAAGATTTTCACACAGTGGCAGAGATCTTCATATTGTACCATTTACTTCATACTTGTTGAGAACTATATTTAACATTACAAAAATATCTTATGGAGATAAATAAATCAACAACAGGGTTTAATTCACACTATATACAGTGAAGGATATACATGTTTTTAAGACCTGAAAAGTGAATTAATGTTGATGATAATTCCAAGATATCATGTTAACTCTTTGCAACTTATACAAACATTATCTGTGTTATCAGTATTTTATTGCTAACATAAAAACATGTTGGTCAAGAGTGTATAAAGCAATTAACTGATAAGAGATGTAAACAGCTGGATGCTGAATTCTGTACCATACTTCTCCTAAATTTAGCTATTGAAATAAAAAAAAACACAATAAGTTTTATTCACTTTGTATTTAAAAGTCAAAATATCTGGATGACTGTCTAGTAACTGGTTATTTTTTACAGACAAGCCTTATCAAAATCAAAAATAATATTTAGTTTAAGATATGACACCATACATCCGTCTTATACATTTCAATGGATTTTCAGTATCATAACACATGATATTTTCTACAGCAAATGTTAAAAATACATTTCAAGCTAAGTAAAGAATGTAAAAACTTATATATTATCAACTATTTTAATTTTAAATACAGTATGAAATACTTAGTATATAACGAATTACAATCATTTAATTGCAAAATATCAGTCAAATCTTAAGACAAAGCTGAGGTATCATTAGCTTATTGCCACTTCTCCAGTTGGTCGGACTTGATAATGTGGTCATATTGTTGGAACCCTGTACTATAGGTGGTATATAACAAATCATTAGGATACATGACACTTCTAGAAGATTATGCCAGTGGACTAACTAACTCCATACATTTCATGCATTTAGGGGACCTTGCAGTCAGAGGGAATTAGGAAAGGTAGCATCAAGTCTTTTTTAATATTCCAAGACATATTCACTCAACAATATATAAAACAATAAGAGGACAAAATATGTAATTAACATGCTGACTTATTCCCTGCAACTGTACCATATATATATAACAAAGCACAATGTTAAAAACAAAGTAATGCGATGATTCCTTTTTAACTATTTATTTTAATGTAAGACGCAAAAGACAAAACAAATGGTCCTTTAAAATATGCTAAAAAAACATGTTTTCAGCTTGCAACATCCCTTTCTTTTTACCAGTCAAACTGATTGTTTTGCTTGCTTCATAATAAATGCTCTTAATGTTTTTGCTGATGTTTTATAACATTGAAAACTGTTATGAATATATCTATGTTGGAAATCCTGTATATAACAACTGTTATTATTTGAAAATTTGTTTGTATCAAACGTTCAGATTGACGTTTGTATCAAATGTTCAATATCACTGTTTTTTTCTTCCTAAGTTTTCTGTATTTTTTTTTGAACAGTTTGATAGTTTCTTTTTCATCTGTTATGCATTTGTACAACTTAAGGCGATTCAAATACCAGTTGTCAATTTGTGTGACAGTTAACAATCATGGAATTCCTGAAAAATATATACATTTTATTTAGAAGTGGAAACAAGAATTATGACATTTCTAGAATATATCAATTAATATTTTAATTGCACATACATTTTTACAGTGGCTGAACTTTTTTTACATGTAAAAATGAAAATTAAGTCTTGTGTTGTACCTTTTATCTGGCAAAATCTTCTTTAGTGTTCATCATACTGTTGTGTTCATAACTTCTCTAGTCAAACCAAGAAAGTACATCTATTATCTTCAGACTTTTTCGAATTGGTGTCCATGATTGTTAATCTTATTGTGTGAAATGCTTCAAAACGAGCAACTGTTGTCATGTATTGATCTGAAATAGTACGTAAAATAACTTTTATTGCTTTTTAGTATAAAAACGGTATTGATTTAGATTCTGAAGCAATTATGTTTTAAATGTCATAATTATAAGTGTGATATTTAAATGAACTTTATTAACAAAACATATTTTATGTTAATAATCAAATTAAACATTAAAATAATGAAAAAAATCAGATTAATTAAGGTAAGTTGTAATACATCTCAAGTGGCTTGGTTTAAAAAAGAATAGAACAATGGAATTTTACCTTGAAATGTTCCCATTCATTCCTTTTTATTTTCACAATCCCTGCATTTATTAAACTCACATCCTCAGGTATTTTATAAAAAATAACCGTATAATCATTTCTAGAATTGGAATCACATAGTGGAACACAACAATAAAAATGAGGTTTAACACACTAGGGCTTATCAGATCAGACATTATTTGTTTACATTCATGCCCTGTTAGCCTCTCTCTGGTGATGGAATGTAAAGCATGCATATAATTTGAGAAAGGCCTTTCAAACCAAACTACCCTTAAATATAATATGAGATAAACAAGTCATAAAAATGCATGTATTATGAAATTATCTCTTAAAGCATTATAAATCATAAAAGTTTAATTATAAAAACAATAGTCGATACAGTCATTTCAAAATTTTTCTTTAAAATAAAGCAAAACACCAACATTGAGTGGTCAGTATCAAAACAACTTTTTCTGTTTTCAAGGCCTCACTGACCACCTTCCTTCGTGTACTCACAGACTGCACCAACCCTTTAATCAAAATATCATTCTATACATACTCGATCAAATATCTTAAAACAAACAACAAACAGTATGTTTTCTTGCAAAAGAAATAAGGTATTTACAAAGTTTGATACGTTTTCACTGTATGTAATATTTAATAAGTGTTCAAATTGTTACATGTTTATAGAAAAAAAGAAGACAACCGCATTGCATGGTAGTTCGTGGTTTATTGCATTTTCGTGTATTTCTATGTTTCTTCTACTCAGATAAAATATCGGGTGCATAATAATAACCAATTTCCCTTTTGCTTGTTTGTAAGAAATTACCATATCAACACATTAAGCTTTAACGAAATAATTGAATTTCATATTTGAGTTTTTAAATCAGGTTTCAAAATCTTGACGTTTTATTTCTTCTATCTGAATTAATCGCAGATAAATATTTTACATTTAGTTATTAAAATCACAAAGATATTAAACTGTAAGACAAAATATCTATGATTTTCCTATAGATTTATATAACAACATACATGTTACATGCGCGTGTTAGTAAAAAATCAGTGCTCCATTATGAATATGGCTTTTTTACAGATGTAACATGTTAATATTCAAACTTCGGTTTGAATTTGTGTACAGTAGTTTTGTCGCAGGTCTTTGTTTATTTCATTTAGGGAAAATACAATAAGTGGCGTCTACAATGTACTACTGGCATCAGGAAACGAACTGTTGAGGAATTTAATAAAATGTCACTTAATATGTGTAAAAATGAACTGAGTGAACTATATTTGGTATTGCTATCTTTGTAACGATTATAACTATTGCACATAAAAACATGAACAAAAAATGGACACAATTTCACTTTATGGTAAAAAAGCGTTTTCATTTGATTATTTAATCGGTAATGCATTTGTTTCATTCCAGGTACACAATCAATTAATAAAGGTGTGCTTACTGTAACATTTTCAATAAAAGATGCGATTATTCCAAACAGGCATTCATCTGAGATAATCATTCTCAGAAAAGCTTCTATTTATGAATGTTTAATGCATTAATCGTTTTAACGTTTGATCTGTCAGATTAAACTCAACAGAGCAACGACATAATCGCAAGAAAATCTAGGGACAATTTGATGACACGAAAAACGTACAATATCGTTAAAAGCAGCACAGTGGTTATCAGTAAAATTGATACGTAACAAAGGTTGCTATGTTACAACCTAAATTGTAATAAAACCGGAATTGTCATAAAATTATTACAAAGCTGGTTAGGATGCAAAAATATTATTACATTTAGGTAGTCAACCTGAATTGTAATAAAACCCGAAAATGTAATAAACGGTCAAAACTCAAGAAAATGTGACAAGACAAGTCTCTTTCACATACATGGTGTTTAAAAAAACGAATTTGGAACATGGAAGCGAATTAAAACTAAAAGAAAATACATTTCAAATTTGAAGAGCAGAAATGGTATCATAAAGTTGATGACAACCTGCATTCTTTAAAGTACTTGACATACATCTTATTCCTACGATACCATTGAGAAATTGATTTTTAAGGTCACAGTAATGTTAATTTATTGAAAAAATATGAATAAATAAAGGAACGATGATGACGTTCTTTCAAATGTAACAATCTTAATACAATTCCAGAAAAATTGTCCATATACAACTTTCAATAAACAATCTGAAGCGTAATGATATCGTGGAATGTAACAAACTATTTGATACGTAGCATTTTCATTTTCTATTCTGTACAACCACCAAATAATATATTTTTTGAAGATCATCTTTACTAACGATATAATAGCAATAAAGAAAATTTGCTTGCTTTGTGTATAGAAAAGTTATTAAAAAACCGGTTGCCCTGCAAAAAAAGTTATTACAATTGATTTGACAACCTGAAATGTAATAAAACTCAAAATGTAATAAACTTTCTGAAAAGTTGTCTTTCTCTAGAATAATTCTTCAACAACAAGAACGGAAAAGAAAAAAACCGATGAACAAACCAACTACTTATGAAAAAATAACGTTAAACATCAGTTATAAGAAATGTTGATTTTTGATATAAAAAATGTAGGAGCAACATTAAAAGTCAAGTGTAAAAATTTTATTACAAAACCGGTTGAACTGCCTAAAAGGTATAAAAATTGAGTTGACAACCTGAAATGTAATAAAAACACAAAATGTTATAAACTTTTTAATAGTTTTCTTTTTCTAAAATAATTCGTTAACATCAACAAAAACGAAAACAAAAGAACCGATGCACAAACCATCTTCTACTAAAAAAATAACGTCAAATACCAGTTATAAGAAATGTTGATTGTTTGATATAAATGAAAATGTAGGAGTAACAGTAAAAGTTAAGTGTAACAATTTTATTACAAAACCGGTTGAACTGCCAAAAAGTTATTACAATTGAGTTGACAAACTGAAATATAATAAAAAACACAAAATGTTTTAAACTTTTTGAAAAGTTGTCTATTTCTTAAATAAGGCTTTAACATCAACAACGAAAGCGAAAGAACCGATGAATAAACCAACTACTAATAAAAAAAATAACGTTAAACATCGGTTATGAGAAATGTTGATTGTTTGATATAAAGCAAAATGTAGGAGTAAATGTAAAAGTTAAGTGTAACAATTTTATTACAAAACCAGTTTGCCAAAAAGTTATTACAATTCAGTAGACAACCTGAAATGTAATAAAAACTCAAAATGTAATAAATCTTTTTCTAGTTTTCTATTTCTAAAATAATTCTTTAGCAACAACAACGGAAACGAAAGAATCAATGTACAAACCATCTACTGATAAAAAATAACGTTAAACACCAGTTGTAAGTAATATATAAATTACAAGTGGGTTTGTGGGTAACAGTAAAAATATCATCCCGAGGAAAATACTGTTACCCGAGGTGAGCCCAGGTTAACAGTATTTTTACGAGGGGTGATATTTTTACTGTTACTCACAAACCCATGTGTTATTTATTTCATTACCGCGAACAAAATACTGTGATGATCTAACATTGTCAATTAAATCTAACTGTAACAAAATAAACTAAGAGTATCAATAACTTTACTCTCCTTACCTTTTAAGTTTTAGGTGAAGTTTACTGTAGGCCAACTGGAGAAGTTTTCTGTTCCTTTTATTCTTTAAGCGAGTGATGATATCTCCTAGTCATAAATATACAATAAGCTGTGTTTTATTTAGAAAACTAAACACTAACCCATTTATACGATTATGATCTGTGAAATCTTATTCTCCTGTGTCCAGAATATTCTTAACATAGTTTTTGACAAAATAACGATGGTAATCCATGTCTGTCCACCATATCTGTAACGTTTCGCTGATAAAAATTGTTAAATAATCCTTTGTTGCATGCTTAAATCGTCTGCATGTTCCAGTTTGACACATAATTGTTTTCATTGCAATTACTTCCGTTGAAAACGGATGTCTACTTTTTGACTATTCAAGAAAAAGATATTTAATACGCGAAAAGAACTACAGGATGCAAACAACTTAATTTTATGGGTGTCATAGTTACTCCAGAGAGTATGGTGGTGTTTCTATTGTGGTTATTGTCGATAATAAGAATGAATCGAGAAAAAAAATGGCGGCCATTTTAGTTCATTCCATTTAGAAAAAAGACCACGTGACCAGATTTTATACTGTTAAAAAGTACTGTTACCTATGCAACAGTACAAAATTTTTGGTCTCGTGGTACACTTGCATTAACAGTAAGAATAACTCCTCGAGGACTATGGGAAAATAACACTCCAGTTATAGGTAATGTTGATTGTTTGATATAAAACAAAATGTAGGAGAATTATTTTAGAAATAGAAAACTAGTAAAAATGTATTACATTTTGAGGTTTTATTACATTTCAGGTTGTTTACTAAATTGTTATAACTTTTTGTTTGCAATTCAACCGGTTTTGTAATAAAATTGTTACACTTAACTTTTACTGTTACTCCTACATTTTCATTTCTTTCAAACAATCAATATTTCGTACAACTGATGTTTAACGTTATTTTTTAGTAGTTTGTTTGTTCATCGGTTCTTTCTTTTGCGTTGTTGTCAGTTCAATTGATTTTGAAATAGTATTGTTACACTGAACTTTTACTGTTACTCCTTCATTTTTATTTATATAGAAAAATCGACATTTCTTATTACTGATCTTTAAAGTTATTTTTTATATTAAGTTAATAGTTTGTTCAACGGTTCTTTCTTTTTCGTTGTTGTCAGTTCAGTCGGTTTTGTAATAAAACTTTTACACTTGACTTTTAATGTTACTCCTTCATTTTCTATTATATCAATTTATCAACATTACGTATAACACATCTTTAACGCTATTTCTGATTAGTAGATAGTTTGTTCATCGGTTCTTTCGCTTTCGTTGTTGATTTTAATGAATTATTTTAGAAATAGACAACTTTCAAACAGTTTATTACATTTTTTGTATTATTACATTTCAGGTTGTCAACTCAATTTGTAATATTTTTTTGGCAGTTCAACCGGTTCAGTTATAAAATTTGTACACATAACCTTACTGTTTCTCCGACATTTTTCATTTTATCAATTAATCAACATTACTTAAAACTGGTATTTATCGTTATTTTTTTATTACAAGATGGTTTGTGCATCAGTTCTTTAGTTTCCGTTGTTTTTGTTGTTAAAGAATTATTTTAGCAATAGAAAAGTATTAAAATGTTTATTACATTTTGTGTTTT